TCAGGAGCATATACCACGGAGGGATGAACAATAGTCTTTGGTGCTGTTCACCGATGGGTCCCGGTTTGGGTTACACTCAAATTCACGAATAACACGCGTTTGAAGAACTCCAGGGAGAGTAAGCCGTCTACGGCACCCTCAAGAGGTCAACTCATATCAAGGCTGGATTCACCGGGGAGCCACTCATATCATGGTGTGAGCAGGAATTCTTCTTGGTGGACGACTCCAGCTCGTTTAGAGGTCCAAGGCATCACGACTGCACAAAAATAGCACGAGGCGGTAGTTGAATATGTTCCACAGAATTTTATATTATTGTTCCACAGAAATGGACACATCTAAATGAGCAAGAAATTTCTACTCATGCACGATAATGCTTTTTCCCATACGGCGTGGCTGGTGCCGGCCGCTCTTCGAGACCAAGATATTCAAGTTTTGGATTGGCGTGCACAGTCGCCGGGGAATATATTAGCTTTTCCTTGTAAATATTATATTAAAAAGAAGCAAGGAAGGAAGCTTTGAAAGATATCCCGCAAAATTTGACGACGGAACAACAACTTTATGAGTACTTGCAAAGAACATGGGATTTCATACCGCAGCAAGACATTGACAATTTAATTTTAAGTACGGAAAATCGATGTCTTTGTATAATTAATTTAAGAGGTGGCAACAATGATTATTAATAATTAGATTGTATAAGATTTTTTTTTAATTTTAATTAAAATGAATAGTTTTATAAGAAAAATTTAAAAAAATAAATATTAATTTATAAAAAATTTCTAAATGCTTTTTATTTTTTATTCAAGACCTGAAAATAACCTACATTTTTTCTATTTATTAAGTATATTAGAAAATTATTCATAGATTTTTATACATTTCATGAAATATAAAACATCCCTAGATTCTGTTGATATGTTTATATATTTTAGGCAGGTTTTGTATAATTAGTTTATTTTGCCCTATAAAAGAGACCCCATTCACAATAAAGCTTGTAAACTCCTGCATCTTGTTGAGGGATGTACTTTGTGGATGTTGGGTATCATAAAGCGTCCGAAATGGAATTAAAAAAAGTTAGATTTAAAAGTGAAAGAAGCAGTAAAATTCGTTTTATTCAATGTGTTGTATTCACGTAATCATAAGAAATTATTATATTTTACGCATAGTAGTATCAAAGTTAAAACAAATTACCGTTATCAAAAAATATGTAAACACACTCCAGTCCATAGTTAGTTTTTGGTTTTTGGATTAATAATAATAATTACGTCTTCGTTTTACTTAAAAATTTTGAAATTATAAAAGATAGATAAAAACTATAGAATCGGGAACACAGAAAGTAAATTTTAATTTCTTGCCGCAGTCACATTTATTGCCCCGTTAAAAGTTAAACATAAAAGGCAAACCGTGAAATTAAAAGGCACATATCGTAACAGTAAAGATAATAAAAAGGTAACCATTAAATACCTTAATAGTTTTAGTATAATGTAATATAAGACAGCAGTGAACGTAGGGGTTCGTTTCGTAATGTAGATACCTGATTACCATTCTTGTAGTACTAGCGAACCGTCTCGGCTTCGCACGGGTGATTTCTGTATCTGGACAACGGCGCCACCTACCGGGTCCAACTAAAGCTTACAACTATCTATTTGGATTCCATCATCAAAATAGGTGACGTCGTTTAAGAAGAGTAGAATTCCGATTACACAAACATTGGAATTGTATTCAAAAAAGCGAATTATGCGTAATAGATTAAATATTAAATATATTGCAGCCTCGTACCGGTACGTGAAGTGCAGGTTACACCGCACTAAATGAAGTGAAATATGACGTATTTAATAAACTAATTTATTTTTGGTTCACTATTCTTCATCTTTGTTCTCAAATCAAGTTTTCTTTTCCTTATTCATCTGATCGTAAAGGAACAATGCTAGACATGGAGCGAGGATTTCTCTTATTCGTCACGCCAGGCAGACGAATTGATGATAACTGTACTCGTGTTATATCACACCTTTGACGCTGCTATCCGTCCCTGGTCTTTGTAATTTACCTCCGGTGTAAATGAGTTGGAATCGGTCAACTGAAACCATTTGTAAACCACTGTATAGGCTGTAAACCATTTTTTTATAGAAGAGGTGGCATGCGAGTATGCGGCTTACCTGATAATATGTATCGACCGCCGCCCATAAATTACTGTGACACCAGCGAAATTGCAGGTGCCTTGCTGGCCTTCTAAAAAGGAGTAAGCTCGTTCCTTGTTGGTCCCTAATTCGTATCGGTCTGGAAAATCTTCTGTGGTAAACGATTCTACAAAGAAGTCGTGCGAGGAACAAACTCCTAGTAAATCGCACAGTGTTGTACCACCAAACTTTAAATGGGGTGGATGGTGTCGTGAATTTTCCCACGATGCGTGTTGGCGTAATTTGGCGGCTGAAATTAATCCGATCAATTCCACTGAGTACTTCAACATGGAATGTCACAAAGCACGGTCCTGAGCAACATGCATCCATCGACTTCCTACATCTCTTACTATTTCGTCACTCCATTTAGTGCGGAGTCACCTTGCACTTCACGTACCGGTACGAATCTGCCATATAATAAACATTTAATCTATTACACATACCTCGCTATTATAAATATAATTTCGGTTCGCGTTTGTTCGTAACTCTACTTCTTATAAACGAATTCACCAATTTTGATAATGGAGTCATAATAGATTTATTTATTTATTTATTTTCCACTATACAATTATCTTTACAGGTTTATCACCTAATGCGATAATGTAGACAACTATTTTACCAACTCCAACTACATAGCTACAAGCTAATAATTTTCGATTACAGACATGTACTTATTGCTATTTCAAACACGTATCTATATCACATAAGGACCATAACTAATTTCAAACAGAGCTCTTACTATGAACCCACCCAGAGTACAACAAAATATATCTATGTCTTCTGCTATACGGTTGAGGATACGGAGGGCGCGCGTAAAGGGCGCTTCAGTCACCAGCTTAGTGTGGCCGCGCGGCACAGCTATCAGCTGGGGCCGCCGCCGCCGCCACACGTATCTGTCCGGAACACATATGCGCACTTGTTGCAATACGTCTGGATTGTGAATCTTTCCCCTCATCACCTTAAAGATATATGAAACAAGCGCTAAATTCCTCCTAACCTTTAGCTTATTGTATCTTACCATACCTAAGGTGAATAAGGTAGGATACTTATTTGGGTAAAATGGGTATACTCCATACATTTTTTGATATAAATATCTAATAAATATATTTTGCACTCTCTCCAACATGATACTATACTTAGTCTCATGTGGAGACCAGATGACCGCGTTGAATTCTAATTGGCTCCTCACTAAAGAATTATATAATGCAATAACTGTCTTTATATTAGTGAAGTCCCTAGCTATCCGTAGTACGAATCCCAAATTTCTGTAGGCTTTCTTACAGATTTTGGTTATATGCTCTCCAAATTCTAGTTTAGAGGAGAAATTAACCCCTAGATCTTTGACTTTTGACACTTTCGCTATTGGTGCCCCGTTAACCTGGTATTGGTACGTAACTGGAGATAGTACACGGCTGAAGGTCATAGTTATGCACTTCGTGATGTTAAATTGTAAGTTATTATGTTTGCTCCAGGCTACGACCCTATCTATATCTTGTTGTAACTTTTGGCAATCCTCTCTGTTCCTCACAGCAAGATACAGTTTCAGGTCATCTGCAAATAGAGTACAATGAGCATCTTTGACAACCGTTGGAAGGTCATTTATCATCAATATGAATTGCAATGGACCGAGATTGCTGCCCTGACTTACTCCGGACCTAGTTAAATAGTTTTCTGACCTACACCCCGCATATTCTACATACTGCTTTCTGTTCCGCATATAACTAGCAAAAAATGTTAGTAAATGGGGAGTAAATCCTACACCTGCCAGTTTTGTGAGCAGTATGTCATTATCCACTAGGTCGAAAGCTTTTTTGTAATCCAAGAAAGCTACATCTACCTGTCCTCCAGCATCCACTTCAGGTACAATATAATTCATATAATTAATTAGATTGCTGGTGGTGCTCCTGTCGGGTCTAAAACCGTGTTGCTCATCCGAAAGCTGTACATTAACTTGCGAGAGGATGCTCTTGTGTACTGCAGCCTCCAGTACTTTAGCTGGTGTCGAAAGCACAGCAACCGGCCTATATTGGTCCACGTTTGATGCTGACTTTCCTTTTGGTACTGGGACTACCTTGGTTGTTTTCCATCTATCTGGAAACACTGCCTCCGCCAGGCACTGATTAAATATGTAGAGAAGTGGCTTACCAAGTACTAGTCTACAGTCTTTGAAAATGTAGGGCGGTATGCCATCGGGTCCCGTTGACTTTTTTGGCTTGAGTTTTTGCAGAGCGTAAAGTACTTCATCAAGCTTTAGTTGTTCTAAGTGTACCCTAGCCGCACCATTCTTACCACCAGCCTGATTCACTGCCGCCTCCACGTCCAGCTTAGACATCTTAGGGCTAAATACCGAATAAAAATACTGAGCAAACTCAGTAGCACACTGCTCACTAGTAAGTACCTTATTATCTTTTAAAATCTTGCGTGGACTTCTGCTGTCTTTTTTGAGTTAATGTAAGCCCAGAACGCCTTTGGATTTTCCTGAAACTCACTCTGCATCCGGTCTTTATAATTTTTGTACCTGGAGTTTATTAAATATTTTACATACGTTCTACACTTAGCAAACGCCTCATAATCGGCCCCTGATTTGCTAACCTTAAACTGCCTATGAAGCCTAGCTTTTAATTGTATGTTGCGAATAATGTCTATCGTGTACCACTCGGGGTAACTGTACTCCGAGTTTACACGTCTTCGCTTTTTTCTTGGCACGCAGTCATCTATTACTTTGTTTAAAACCTCATAAAAATAATCTAAACTATTATTTACATCTAACCTATACATTGGCATCCAATCTATGGCCGCTATTAACGAATACATTAACAGAAAGTTTACTTTATAGAAGTTCCATCCAGTATGCGTCTGATTGTTCCCCTCAGACTCAGCTAGCAGTGGCACCGGCGCGGGCTGTACGCCGTACCGCGCACGCCCCCGCTGCACCACAATGGCGAGCGGAGGATGATGTGGGTCGGGCGGCACGATTGGCTCAGCCGCGCGCACCTCCAATTCTTTTTCCACTGAACGCGTGCTCAAAACAAGATCTAATTGTCGTTCATTGCAATTTCCTATTTTGTTGTACTGGGTGAATTCACAATATGTGCAAAAGTACTCAAAATGATTGCGTACATTTGTTGAGCTAGAATATAAATCAAAATCGCCTATCACTATTAAATCATTGTAGCCATCACGATAATTTTCTATTATACTTAACAACAACATGTGTTCATTATCACCAAAACTCGGTGGAATGTATACTACACACAACACAAACATGAACTTATTTTGTTGATAAACCGCAACGCTAACCAGTTCAAATGCGTGATCTTGAATACGTACATCGTTCGGGGTATTTAGTTCCCGCAGCTCGTATCGTGGTGTGGCTACTAAACACGCACCACCCTGCGTGCGTCCGTCTGCCCGATCACACCGAAGTATCATGTATCCAGGTGGGATAAGTTCTGAATCATAGATAGAATTGTTGCATCCTGTTTCTGTTATTGCAAAAAAATCATAACTATGGGAAGAAATTCCCACATAAAAATCGTGTAATTTTGTTCTCAATCCTCTCACGTTCTGATAGTATATCTCCACAAAATTGAGTGGTTTCTTATTACTTATTGGGTGGTTTACGAAACCACACCCATTCACAAAATTCAATGTTAACTGCCCAACATTCTGGTTTACATAGTATTTCGTATGAACTTTCTGGAACTCCTATTATAAATGACGCATAGTCTCGTTCCGTCTTATGTTTAATTTTTTCCACTGTTATTTCCGTCTCTTTTCCACATATATTCTTTACATGTCCTTTCAAACTTTCTACTTTAATATCCTTTTTTAATCGCCAAACATGTAAAAAATTTTTCCTTTCAGTACCTTGAATATTTCCTGTACCAGTATTTCCTCCTCTTAAGACTTGCCTCTCAGGATATTTCTTTTTCTGTACAGTTATCCATGATCCTTTCTTTTTGCTAGTTTCCATCTTATTTTCTGTATTATCTGTCGATAGTTGTTCTTTATCAAAACTCTCCGCAGCGGTTTCTATATCACATGTCGGTTTCATGGCCACGCTTGCCACTACACGCTTATCTTTGTTATTATCTTTGTTTACTGGCTGATTTTTGCTTAGTACCTGCTTTTCGTTTTGTGTGAGTACCTTTGCAAAGGATAAAGTCTCCTTTCTGATTTCCTTAACTGTCCCATTTCTTTCTTTTGTAGGCTGATTTTTGTTCAGACAATTCTTTAATTGCTCATTTTTTTGCTCCAATGTTTTTATCTGCGCTTCTAATTCATCGACTTTGCTTGCCTTCTTCTGCACTACTTTCAAAGTATCTCGTAATTTACGCAATTCTATTTCGGTATCAACAAACCTGTCCTTGAGCAAATTGTACTCCCTTATTTGTTCATATATTTTAAAGTTCATTTCAAATCTAAATTCTTGCAATTCTTGCAGTATTTTACTACTGATATCCAATTCTATAACTTCTTTTGGAAACATCCTATTGCCTCGGTCTGAGTTTACATAGCAAGGGGTAGAAATTTGATTCATTATATTCTGGTTACCTCGAACTGGTGTTTCCGAATTATCCCGTTTCGGTGCACTGCAAACACACTCCGGGCATCTCCAATTGCACTTGTATTCTTCGGTAAACGCTTCGTATTTATCCTTCGTCAGAGCCAAGCACTTAAGATGGTATAATTTATTGCATCCATCTCTTGCACATTCCATGTACGAAATGTCGTATATTACGGCATCACAGCCGTTACATTTTCGATCCATTTATTTGAAAAATACACGTTTTCCGCTATTAATTATTTTTCCGCTAATAATAATTTTGTTGACATCTGTCATCTTTCATTAGTCCAACTATAGATAGTTCTAAGCTATAGTTGGACTCGGTATATGGCTCTGTGTCCAAGATCTGGAAATAACCATGCTCTCAAAAAGATCGTTTTTTAGTTTTACACATATCTCTAAGCTCAGTCCCGATATACAGCTTAATGATAATCATTATAAGAATAACGATTAACGAATAGCTGCATTTTTCAAAAAACCTAAATATTCTTAAAAATATAACTCTTTCACATTTTAAACTTTTATTTCGTTATTCAGTATATTTAAAAAAAATGTTTTCAATTTTAATACAGCCTTAATGTGTGTAATTGTTTATAAGAATTTTATTGAGTATATTTTTATTTTATACATTATGTGTTTTGTACATACAAACATTACTGATATGAATGAATTCTTAAATCACAATTGTTATTTCTTTTGTGTAGTTCATGCTTTATCTACATCAGTGTTCCGGCTAAGTCCACTCATCTCATAAAATAAGTTGAAGGCTATTTCGAAGTGTATTGACAGACATTATCAAGGACCAAAATATTGTTTTAGCTTTTCAGAACATAATTAACACTTTTATTGATATCTTCCTAGTTACTCTTTAATACATAAAGCTATTTAAAAATGAATTCAAGTTTTAAAATGTGTATTTCAAGAATTATTTAATAAAAATATTGCTTAGGTTTAGAAAAATCTTTCAAGGTAATTTAAATGCAAGTATATAAAAATATATTTGGAATGTCTTTAAGAATCTTTGGTAACGAACTTAGTGTATTATAAAGTTAGTTAATCGGTGGTTTTACTTTTTCAGAAAATCTACCCATTATGTTTCCAGGCGGAAAATAGTTAGCAACAACATATACTTGCCCATTTTTGGATTTAGCAACTCCTACACCTAGTTCTCTGCTATCCTCCCATATAACCTGAGAAAAGTGTCCTGACTGTAAATCGTTCGGTTCTCTCCCAAAAACATGCAAATTAATTTCGTTATACCACTTATCTACAGGAACTCGGCCGGAAACCTTAAAGTTCGGATCTGGAGACCAAGCGTAATATATATTTTCACCGTATTCGTTTTGGTCTCTATGTTCCATTTGTCCATTTTTAGCGAGTATTTTGGCCCACTCTTCTGCATATTTACAAAGTTTTTTGTTAAGCTCTAGTGGTGGAACGCCGTGTCGCCTGCGATATTCGTTGTGGGCTCTTAAAAATTCTTCTTCAAATTTTTCCACAGATTTTGACACCGATCTTAATTTTGTGACTAGTTCTGTTGCTATCTCAGACAAGTTCTTACTGCTTCTTAGATTAGGAGATGGTGGCCCTATTAAAATATTCCATTCACTATACGTATCGGAACTACTCAAACTTGATTGAAACTCTAAGGCGCCCGGTGGTAGAACATATTTCACAAAATTTTCACTGTAGTTATATGGAGGAAAGTAATTAGCCACAACATACAATTTTCCTGATTTACTTTTGGCACTTCCCACTCCAAGCTCACGTGTATTTTTCCAAACTATCTGTGCGTAGTGTCCATATGTCAATATTTCCGGCTCTCCGCCAAATGAATAATCTTTAATTTTACTGTACCATTTCTCTACACAGTCACGAGCTTTAGTTTTTACTTTAGGATCTGGTGACCATCCACAATAAACGTTTTCCCCAAAGTTTTGGTTAAGGCTACATGAAATTGCATCTTTTTTTGCTAATTCTTCTGCCCATTTTTGACTTATTTTACAAATATATTTGTTAAGAACTAACGATGGAACTCCGTGGGCTCTTCTGTATTCGTTGTGTATTTCTAAAACGTCGTTCTCAAATGCACTTGATATGAATCCAAATAGTTTGCTCTGAAATAAAAAAAAATCTGTGATGTTATGACAAAAATAGGAAATAAAACCTCATATTGTTACATCATATAAAGACAACAAAAAATTATGTACAGCTTTGGTTCTTAGTCTCATAAAATTATTCCTCCCATATGTAACCTGATTGTTTGACTCATTTTTGGTATTTTTTCTTGGTAATCATAATTTTATGACTCAATCTTGTATCGAAATAACCAAAAGATTTCGAAGTTCCTTTGAATTACATTAAATAACCTATTGTCAGCTTTATAATCAATCTATGTTTTCTTCCTGTTAAGTTATTATTGGTTATTTTATCTATATATCATTAAATCTATTTTCTTGATTTAAAACAGTACTAATAGAATGGAGTATATAATAAGTATATGCACAGGTATATATATATATATATATATATATATATATATATATACATAAACACTCACGCCTGTCACCCAGAGGGACAGACTCCTACCTTTCTCGCCTCTTCCACATCCATATACCTACGCATACATGCTCGTCGGTTAAGGGTACTCTTAATTTGGCCCATTTTTAGTATATCGCCAATTTGGTCGACAAAATTCCGCCTAGGACGTCCCTTTCCGACTCTTCCATTCACTTCTGCAACATATATTTGCTTTGTCAGTCTTTCCGCATTCATTCTTTCTACATGACCAAACCACCGAAGCATTCCTTTCTTAATCCTGGTCACCGCATCATCTTGCAAACCACACTCTTCCTTTATCACACAGTTTCTCACCCTGTCACTCAGATTCAGCCCTAACATACTCCTTAGCGACCGCATTTCTACTGTATTTATTCTACTCTCGTGCTTCTTCTGCCACATCCAACTTTCACTACCATACGTTAAAGTAGGGACTAATACAGCACTGTGAATTGCCATACGTGCCTTTTTTGACACATTCTGACTTTCCACAATAGAGTGTAGAACCTCATTTACTTTATTTCCTGCATTCACTCGTCGTTCAATATCCTTATCATTCTCCCATCCCTGCTGAATACAGATCCCAAATATACGAACTCATCCACTTGCTCAATTAACTCTCCTTCTATTCTTATTTCACATACCGTTTTGCTTTCATCTCTTTCAAAAACCATCACTTTCGTCATACTTTCGTTCAATTTCATTCCCCTTTCTTTTAATGACCTGTTCATTAATGTAACCATCATTTGCAACTCGGCCGCCGACGACGCAAGTACGACTTGATCATCGGCGTACAAAAGGCATTTGATGGTTAACTCATCCATTCTTAACCCGCATTCTTCAACTTTCAAATTTTCCAAACAGCTGTCCATAAATAGGTTGAACAGCCACGGGGAAGCTACACAGCCCTGTCTGACACTTTTATGGATGCCAAACCAGTCCGAGTAGACCCCGTTGATTCTAACACAAGCACTCGAGTCCCTATACAGAGACTTTAATGCCTGTATCAAACCATCGCTCAATCTATATGCGTTCAGCGTTTGCCATAACACATCCCTGTCCACTCTGTCATAAGCCTTTTCCAAGTCCATGAACGCACAAAAAACTTTTTGGTTTTTCGCCAAAAACTTCTCATGCGCATGGAAAAGACTATATATATATATATATATATATATATATATATATATATATATATATATATAGAATAAGTGTAACAAAAGAACAGCTCACCACCCAAGGTAGATGGGTGACCCATAAATATCTATATCTTTCTTTGATTAAGAATCAAAATGCAGATACGTTGTTAGCACTGATGATTCGAATGGAATGCTTGATTTTCACTTAGCATACACAACATGGCACCATTAAGCTGCCATTTTACACAGTTCTGTAGAAGGGTAGTCTTTACCGGGTCGAGCCATCTCAATCGTGCTTCTACTATAATATTTTACAAGACAAACCTTTTTATTGTAAACAAAGCGAAGATTAACATGTTTTAATTATAACTGTTAATAAATAATAAAAACTATTAAAGAAAAAACAAAAGGTGGTATTATTGCAAGCATAATAATTAATCTTTGATTAAATAAATATAATAATATGCAACGACGAAAATATAATAATATGTAAGGCGAAACTATATCCTTTACTAAGATGTTAGATCAGTTTCCTTTTTAGGAATCTCGATTATAAGTAAACCGTAATTCATTTAATGAAACACTTGTTTATGTTTTTAAAATTCCGGTGAAACCTATTAGAAAGTGATTTTCTAATAGGTTTCACCGGTATTATAAGTTAAAATATTGCACTGTTTAATAATATTATAAGTTAAAATATTGCACTGTTTAATAATTATACTACATATAAAACAAATGATCGATGGAATAACTTTTCACTAGTTTCGGCAAAATATAGTGACTGTCTGTGCACAAATGTCGTATGGATTCTATTTACATATCTAGTATTGATTGACTTTGAGTGCACATTCCAAATACCATTCAAGTAATATCATTAATGCCAAGATGAGTAAGGGATAATATGTCAATTTAAATTTATATAATATAAACAACACACTGTAAGAAATGTGTTTTAAACTGGTTGTATTACGAAAACAAAATATATTGTTAGATACTCTATAAATTATTGTAAATTATAATTTCTAAAGTATTCTATGAGTATTAGTATAGAAACAAAATTTTTTATTCCATATAGATTATAAATAATACTTACTGAAAGTAATTTTTTTTTCACTAGTTTCGGCAAAATATAATGACTGTCTGTGCACAAATGTCGTATGGATTCTATTTTAGATATGTATTAATTGACTTTGAGTGCACATTCCAAATACCATTCAAGTAATATGATTAATGCCAAGATGAATAAGGGATAATATATCAATTTAAATTTATATAATATAAACAACACACTGTAAGAAATGTGTTTTAAACTGGTTGTATTACGAAAACAAAATATATTGTTAGATACTCTATTAATTATTGTAAATTATAATTTCTAAAGTATTCTATGAGTATTAGTATAGAAACAAAACTTTTTATTCCATATAGATTATAAACAATACTTACTGAAAGTAATATTTTTTATTTTATGATTGTTTCAAAAAAAAACCTCTGTCTTGGGAGGAACCAGTAAGAAAGCCAGTAAGACTATTTTTTTAGATAACGGCTTACAATAATGTATGTTACAATTATCAACACAGAACAAATTAAAAATAGCTTGGTAGCGACTACCTTACCTTCAGTTTATTATCATCCATATATCCCTTAACATTATAATAACCCTTTTTTATACAAACTTAGTTTAATAAAGTGTTTGAACTTTGATGATTGATGGAGATAGAAAGACAGGAGCCGCGTCAAGACTTTGTTTTAATATGTTTTGATTGATTAATAAGTACTTGTATATAATAATAAAATGACTGGGTAATAACATATCAAAGTGACTGGGTAATGTCGTGCTTATCTATGGTATTGCACACTGATAAATAGTGCGGAAGTAAGATGTTTTAAACTGTTTGTGTAAGGATTACAAAAACACAGGTATAATTTAATTGTTTTGGTTATTAGGGATGCGCTTCGACTTCGCAGTGACGATTTATGGATCTCGATAACAGTGCTATCTACCGGGTCCAAATGTAAATATAAAATATCTAGGGATCGATTCAAATACACACAAACATGTTGGATTGTTGTTGGTTGGTTGGATGGTTTCAAAGTCTAAAACAGACATAAAATCACTTGATGGTAACATGTCCACTTATGATATTTTCATGTCCATTCATTGAATAAAACTATTATTTACGGATTTTATCGCGTTTAATTACTTTAATTTATTTTTATTATTATCCCGACGTTTCGGGTGCTTTACCCCATCAATCTCACCATCATCCTTCACATTTAGCTACCGTGGGTAAATCTTTGTTTCAGAGAGCACGAGGGATCTGTGACAGAAAACATCTGGCCGCGGAGCTTCAGCACGTCAAGCAAGTATTGCAAGACAACAAGCTTCGGGTCCTGCGCCTACGTCACAGTGAACGAGTGAAGCCGGCCACAGTCGAGCGCGCGCCTGCTCTACTACCATATGTCAGAGGAGTCACGGACAAGATTGGCTACATCTTGAAGCGAGCGTCCATTAAGACATACTACAAGCCGCTGAAGAAGATTAGTCAATTTTTACCAACCATCAAATGTAATATTCCTCTACAAGATGCAGGTGTGTACAAGCTAGATTGTGAATGTGGTCTCTCTTACATAGGTCAAACAAAGAGATCTATAAAAACCCGCGTGAAGGAACATATAGCTGATGTGAAGCACCGACGCTCCGGGAAGTCTGCAGTCTGCGAACATGTTCAAGATCGTCCCCACCATTACATTAGATTTGATAAACCACAAATTCTCGCAAAAGAACACCAATTCCTACCAAGGATGATACGCGAGGCTATTGAAATTAAAAAACATCCAAATTTCAATAGAGAAGATGGTTGGGTGCTACCATCTGCTTGGGATCCTATAATTAACAAAATTAAACCCAAACCCAAGCATACCACTGCAAGACTTCATGATACTATAAGCTCGTTTTGTGTAAATCTGACCAAAAATTAATATTAAAAAAAAACTGAAGGTAGCCGGACTAACTATGACATTGGGACGTCAAACATCTCAGTTCCCCCGTGACCATGGGTGCTGTAAAGCACCCGAAACGTCGGGATAATAATAAAAATAAATTAAAGTAATTAAACGCGATAAAATCCGTAAATAATAGTTTTATTCAATGTGTAGTGTTCGCGTAAATTTAAGAAATCATTATGTCCATTCATGATAGGAATCAGAACGGAATTTTCAATGATGAAGGATATGATATAAGACTGTTATCTTCAATATCTATACACTTTTTTGTCTCTGCCTACGGGCAGCTCGTCAACCTTTCAGCCTGCAAGGCAAACAGATTTGTTCGAAGCAATCCACTTGAAATGAAGTAAATGTAATTAATATAATAATATTGTAAATATGTCTTCACTAAATAATAATACCTATCAATATAT